CTGGATTTTAAAGTACTTTTCCTCCCCACTCTGACATTAGGATTGGCTTGAATTTCCAGAGACAAAGCTAATGAAGGAGTCTGTTGCTTAGAATCCCCACACCAGCCTCACCGCCATCAAGCTCTCTCTTTTGCTAATGTTCTCCAACCTTTTTTCACCACTCGTATCAATTTTTCACATATTACGTAACCTTAGCACCCCCTTGATTAAAGCAATTCAGTGTGGTACATGGGAAGCTATTGCTGAACACTAAAGACAACATTTGCAAGTTTAGGAGGAACAAACAAGAAGCCAGCTTTCCTTAGTTTAAAGGAATCTTCCACTGCCCAGTTACCAAGGCTGAGTGATTAAGTGCTCCTCCCCCAGCCAGAAACTGGGGAGACTTTAAGAAAGGTTTGTGCCCTCTTGGAGTTTATTATGTCAACTATCAAAGAGCTCTTTGTAAGAGGCACAAATAAAGTGTGGAAAACAAAGATAAAAAATGGAAGTCAGCAGGAGATGAGAAATAGAAAGACATAAAGAAGAATTGTTGGAGTCTTTGAAAGTAAAGACAAAGATGAATGACAAGCAGAAGATTGAGGAGAAGCATATGGTGAAGCCTAAAGGCTGACCCCATTAGAGTGTGTTTATATGAGACACACTGAGCTGCAAGATACAGTTCTTAAATCCTCCAGGGTAAGTCCACATCATGACATCAAAATTTATGCAAGGGTGTCATAGTTATTTATGAGGTTTTTTCTTCTTTTAAAGAGTGGGGATGCAATTTTGGAAACAATAGAATAATACACACAAAAGGACATTGAAAGATCATCTGACTGTTGAAGGCAAGAGTATTTATGAGATCTGCTGCAGCTTCCTAGCCAAGGCCACACAGTTCCAGGACATTCCCCAGGCATAACTAAGCTGACACGGGAGCATGACATGTTCGTGTGACCCAAATGTATGATTTCCCTTGTTCTTTGTTGCAGAGCTTTTCATACATTAGCTAAGACAGCATGAAACTGCAGCCCAGGACTCCGGTTCTGCCTCCCTTCCCTGTCACAGAAGTTGATCAGCATCACTTTCTGAAAGCTTACTTTGCCTGCATGTTCTTCCTCTCCTTGGTCTCTTGCACCATGCATTATGTTCCTGGCTCCCAGTACTCTCATGCATTCCTAACTCTGCCTCCTAATGGTTATAAGCAGTGCAAAGAATACATCTGTATACATGCATCTGACTTGGGTCTTAAGTCCAGAATCCACAGAGAACTTTTTGAAATACTACAAGAGCCTGAGATGGGTCAGTTGGTAAAGTGCCTGCTGCACAAGCTTGAGGACATGAACTCAGCTTCAGAGCAACCACACAGAAAGTCAGGCATGGTAGCTCTAGGTAGCAATGGGGCAGATCCCTGGTGCTCGCTAACCAACCAGTCTACCCCATTCATGAGAAACTGTGTCTTAAAAGATAAGGTGAAGAGTGATTAAGGAAGGCATCAGATATTAACCCCCAGCCTGCACTCACCCGCATATGACACATATATACACAAATACCTGCACACACATTACATAGAGATATGCTGCATAGATTCATGTGCATTTACACACACACACACACACACACACATAAGATCTTCTTTAATCAGGAGATCACGTAATTGAAACTGAGTCATGGAAACATTAGCAACAGTGAAAGGTCTCTGAACACACAACAATCAAAACTCCAAATGTGTAAGGAGTCACAGGTGTTCTGACAGCATCTGCTCGTACTGTATTGTTCAGGTTCCCTGAAGCTTTGATCTGAACACACAGCAAACACACTGTGTACCACACAAGTCACCATGCCATGCAGCGCCACTGAACACTGCCTCAAACACCTGGGACCAGAATCAAGACTATTGGATGCCAGACACTGAAGTGTTTTTACTATACATACCGCTTTCTGCTTCTATAGAAATACAATAAAAACAATCTTCGATACTCCCTACCCTCATTTCTTAGCATGTAGGTATCAACTAGTCTATCTTCAGACTACACTGTATTAAAATGTTTGATTTTGAAATAGCTGTTTGAGCCACAGAGGCATTTCATGAAAACTGATAAATGAATTTTGCTTTAGGATGAGGGCAAAATTTCCAACAACTTTGGAAATAGCTCTAGACATACTTCTAACATTTTGTTTGAAGTGGCATTACCAACATTGACAACAGTTAAATCAAAATGTCAGTAAAACTTGAAAGACACTGAAGATGCTACATTTCCTGCAGTATCAAGTAATACAGCTAAGGTTTAATCATTTATGGAAAAATAAGTAAATATGTTGAATACATTAGTATAAAGATTTGCTTTCATCTTTAATAAATTGCAACATTGCCTGTGATAACATGGAATAATTTTAAAATAACTTCTGATAAGCAAATGTGTGTGGGAGTGTACACACATATGCACTCTTATGAATATTCAGGTGCTTTGATATATGGGTGAGGGGGACAGGAGTAGCTCGCCAATTAAACTATTCTGGCTGGTCAAAAGCCTCACGATTCCATTTGTCTTCGCTTCCCGAGGTCTGGAATTACAGATACAATTACAATACCTGACTTTTGTATGTGGGTTCTGGGCTCTAATTCATACTTTTATCCTCGTAAAGCAAGCATTTTAATGACTGAGCCAAGGCTCAGACAGTTCACCTTTTAAGGAGCAGATACTCACATAAGGGTCTGGAGAAGCAGCTCAGCTGGTAGAGCGCATGCTGGAGGCCTTGAGTCCAATCCCCAGCACCACAGAACTAGGCGTGGTGATGCACACCTGTACACCTACCGCTCAGGAGTTAGAGATGGAAAAAATCAGAAGTTCAAAATCATCCCCATCCTCTGCTACATTTCCAGTTTACTGAGAGCTTGTCTTAAAACACTACATGTGCTGCTCTTGAGTTTGAATTTATTGTGTTTTTCATCTGCATTGATGGTTACTTCCTAATTCTTGTCTTGTTTAATAGTTTTTTATAATGAGAAAAACACAGAGGTTATTTGCTTTCTTTTTATATTTTAAGATTTATTTTTATTTATACATATATGTGTTTGTATGCATGTGTATATGTGTGTGTGCAAATACCTTTGGAGGCTAGAAGAGGGCTTCAGAATCCCTGGAGCTGGAGTTACAGGTGGTTGTGAGCCGTCCACTCTCTGTGGATGCTCAAACCTAAGCTAGCATCCTCCCGAAAAGTCGCAAGCATTAACTGCTGGGCCATCTCTCCAGCCCCAGGCCTTTATAGGGTTTAATATGCCAGTGTTGTTTTATTTTTATTGCATTTATTTACATACTCTGTGTGTGTGTGTGTGTATGTGTGTGTGCGCGCGCACACACACACACACACACGTGCACACACCACAGTACATATGTGGAGGTCAGAAGACAACTTTCAGGAGTTAGTTCTCTCCTTCCATCACATAGGTCATGGAGATTGCTCCGGTTCCTCAGGCTTGAGGGCAAGTGCCTACTGAGCCAACTCACCGTCAGGACTTTTGGGTTTTCTGCGGGACCCTCACCCCTTAGTCTCAAAGGGGCAAGAAGAAATTTTCTAGCAGAATGTTTCCCCAGGAAGATAATGGCCTTCCCCTCTCCCACCCAGGAGATTCCAAGCACAAGGTCACTTAGCTCAGCCCAGCCAGCCACCTGGTACAGGCTGATAAAGATGGCCTAACTCAGAAACAGTGGCCTTGCTCTAAAAACAAGGAAAAAGCTGACTTAACAGAATGGGAGGGAGCAAAAGTCCTTGTACCTGTGCCAAAGCATCTTCAAAGATTCTCTATGTAGTTATGCCTTTAAAAGCTTAGCCCACAGAGGAGATACAACTCTTCTCTACCTTGTTGTAAGGGGGATGGAGATGAGTTCCAAACATGTTTGTATTATGATGATTAAACCTTGCTTATTACAGTCTGGGCCTCTCTGGTGGTCTCTCTCTGGGGGTCTCTCTCTGGGGGTCTCTCTGGGGGTCTCTCTCTGGGGTCTCTGGTGGTCTCTCCCTGGGGGTCTCTCTCTGGGGGTCGTGATCTGGGTACAACATTTCTATTTTATTCATTTCGATCACTATCACTATTGCTTCCCTTCATACCATTTTATGTCTAATTAATAGCTATATAATCACACATTAACATTTTATATTTGCTTTTATACACATATTTACAGAATGCAAATTCTCCCTGAAAATGTAATATAGTAACTTTGGGGCTGCAGGGAATAGCTTATTGACAGAGCACGTGTTCCACATTTGCAAGGCTTGGGGTTCAATCCCCAGCACAAAAATATAAAATAAACTAAAATAGTAACCTGTCTTCTCCCACAGTAGTACTTTTTCATATCATTTACATCTGCAAAATATGAATTACTTATATATTACTGTTGGTCAACTGCCATTTCTACACTAATAGGAAAGTCCACGGGACCTGAGAACTCAGGGAGAGAACTTTTATTATTGTTTTATTGTTTATGGTGTGCAGTCCCTCAAAGGCCTAAAATGATGTCTAATACAAAAAAAAACAGGTATTTCAGAAAACTTTTCAGAAAAATTATCATATGACTCATATTTCTCATACAAAGGACAAAACAAGAACGCTGGTGTCCAGTTCTTCAACATGCACTCTGGGCCAGAAGCCAAATTCCTAAACTCTCAAGCTCGCAGAGCAAGAGCGGAAAGGTTGAGAGGGCAACTGACAATGGATGCTGGTTTTACAAAAGTGTTCACATTACTTAATCTCAAATTGACCGCGGAATCAGCTTTCATAGTCCAATGTCCTCGGCTGCCCGCTGGTGGCCAAGGCCTTCAGCACACGCAGAAACTGAGTCTCAGTCCTGGGATGGTGGGTCTTAGCTCCCAACACCCACCCCACCCCATTCCGCCGCCGGACTAAAACGCGAGGGAGGAGACAGCGGCATTCCCCAGTCGCAGGGCTGCGGGACCAGACGCAGGCGCCGCTTCGTTCCACACCTACCATTTCGCTCCGCCCCCAGGCCGGAAGCACTTGCGGCCGCTTCCGGGCCTCCGGGCCTCTGGGGCTCGTGGTTTCTTCGGAGATGTCTTGGGTTCGAGCTGTTCCCGAGGTCCCGAGCCCTGGAGATCAGGATGTGTTTGATGAGGAAGCGGACGAGACTCTGTTAGTGCAGCGTGAATGGCAGGGACATATGCGGAGACGAATCCAAGTAAATGGGCGGGGGACGTGGACGCGAGGGGCGTGGGATTCCCACGGGGGCATAGGGCTCGCGGGGGGCGGGACACGCGGGAAGAGGCCTGAACCAGGGGCACAGCTGTCTCTCTCTGCGATCCCAAGGCCGCCCCGTCTTTCTCCCAGCTTGTTACTTGGTTAAAGGTTGATAACCTTTAAACACGCGTTCTTTGAGAGCCCCGGCTGGGTTTGGAGCAGGGAACTGACGGACTGAAGTGAACTTTTTCCAGAGTTCGGTGTTTGGGGAGGGAAATAGCTAACGGGGAGAAACATATACCGACTAGACTAAGGCGTCAGAAAACTCGTATTCACAGATGTTTTTCACTGGGTGGAGAGTCCGAAGTGAGGCGTGGTGTTACTAAGGCTTGGAAAAGGTGAACCTAAGAATGTTGTCACAGCACGGGAAGGTAGAGAAGGAGATATTGTTTCAGTTTTACTTTAAATGTATCATTCGTTCCGGATCTCTCTCACCATTCATTGAAACTTGCTTAATAATATCTGGGTAGAATCAGCTTAGTTCTGGTTGAGAACTGGTCAGATCTGCGTCCACAGAGAGGTGGATTCTAGAGTATAATGACCTGAGTTCCATCCCTGGAACCCACGTCGTGGAAGGACAGAATAGGCTCCTGGAAGTTACCTTCCGACCTTCACACTCAAGTTATGGTACGCAACGCCCCTCGCCCCCGCAATAATAATAATAATAATAATAATAATAATAATAATAAATTAAAAAGTAAAAGGCAAAAAGAACTGTGCCCACCTAATATATTTACCAGCCATTTAATTGTCCTTTTAAAGCTGCAGTTGTGATGATCTCCCTAACAATGTTCCAGCGAGATATTTGTTGAGTCCAACAGCCGTGATATCATTATAAAAATGCCTTGGGAATCTGGGGCTAGACCAATTATAAGAGGACAAAATCTCTATGCCTCATTCAGATTAGATTTCTAAGTTCAGACTTCCTCTCTGCTGTTCCTAAAATAGTTTCCTCTTCCCCAGCCTGGCCAGCCTCCTTAACTGCCCTGTTCTAGTAAGTTACCAAGACCAGACATGGAGTTCCCTGTGAAGACCTTGCTAACAGTTATTAAAAAGAACCTAACACCTGGTGTTTAACGTTTACGAGGTAGCCCTGGATTCCAAAGTGAGCTGAGGATGTGGCGTCGAGGCACATGCCTGTCATCACTTAGGAGGATGAGGAGTAGGATTAGGAATTCCAGGCCAGGCTGGAAACAAATGTGATCAGGAAGGGCAGACCAATAGTAGGGTTTTAGAAGAAACCTTCTGCTTTGGATTTGTGTCTCCGCCGTATCATATTCAGTTAACGTAATACAAAGCTGCTAAATCTATTTTCAGAACGGATTCTGTGCTTTGTGCTCCTCTAGAAAGGATGGACTTGGTGTCAGTTACCATCAGTTTCTTGTCTTTAGGAAGGCTACAGAGATGGAGTAGATGCCGGCAAAGCAGTCACGCTTCAACAGGGCTTCAATCAAGGATATAAAGAAGGGGCAGAAGTCATTATAAACTATGGACTACTCAGGGGAACACTGAGGTAATTTGATGCCTCCATTAAATACTGAGCACTCCTAAGAAATAAACACTGACTGGAGATGTCATTGACACCGCCTCGTGACAGTCTTTAAAGTATTCCTCTTGATAATATTTTGTCTTTCTAATAGTTTAACAAGCCTAGGTTTTCTTTTTTTTAAAAGGAAAGAAAAGAAGGAACTGGTTTTTCTGGCTTTATGTAAATTATATCTTCTTGCATAGAAGTTATACGGTCTGGGAAAATATAAAATAAAAAAAATTGGTATGGAGCTGTGAAGGGGGTATGATTTATAAACAGTTTATATGATTAAGTCTTGGTTAACTTGTATTAAAAGATGCTTTGTTTGTTCTTTTTGTGTTATTTACATTGTTACTTTCCTGATTTTGACATGCATTATTATTGCTAATCTATTTCTGAATGGTGTTGTCTAGAAGGAAAACATGTAGGGCCTAGAGTTCTAAATGCCTGTGACTATTTGAATTTTTCCTATTTAACTCTTGTTTATATTTTCGCTCAGTGCTTTGCTGTCCTGGTGTCACCTTCACAGTAATAGTTCAACTTTGATCAGTAAAATAAATAATCTTCTGGATGCAGTCAGCCAGTGTGAAGAGTGTGTGCTTAAACATCTGCAATCAGTCACTCCACAGCCCCAAGTTACAGATTTATTGGACTCCATTGAGGATATGGACCTTTGTCATGTCGCTCCAGCTGAGAAAAAGATTGATGAAGCTAAAGATGAAAGACTCTGTGAAAATAGTGCTGAGTGTAACAAAAGCTCCGACAAGAGTCCTAGCGGGAAAGCTTGTTCCCCTTCAGACTGTTGCACTACACAGGAGCACGCGCATTTGGAAAAACCAAGCCTCAGTTGGATTCTGGAACAGACGACCAACTTAGTGAAACAGTTGGGACTATCGGTAGACGTGCTGCAACACCTCAGACAACCATAAGATTGTCTCCATACTGTAGTGGGAGGAAGTTCATCAGAGCGATGTGTGTCTACATAAGATGACCATTGGTTGAACAGCTCACCTCTAGTTACCCCTGTGGGATTATGAGGGGTCTTCAGTGTTAACACTAGTAAATGGAACATAAGCCATTATCTTTGTTATTGGTAACTTTTTAAATTTTTAGATATATTCAAAAATCCTCATTGTCATTTTCAAATTTCTAAGACTAGCAAAACCCAAGAACAAGGGGAAAAAATCCAATGCTGCTTTCTACTTCTGTATCGGGTGACAGTTTAGGGCTCATCACCAGCAACCAAACCAAAGTTGCCGAAATAACCTAAAGGTTACCTAGATATATAGAAGTAGATGTATAGTTAGCTATACAGTAAAGTCAAGAGACCAGAGAAACTGACACTATTGATATCATTGAATGAATAATCAAAATATTAAAATTTACCTTGTTTACATTTTGGTCATAGATGTTCAGTTCTATGAAAAATAGAAAAAGTACATTTTCATGCTAGACTGTAAAGAACTGCTTGGTTTTCTAGGCAGTGAGGAGTTGGCCATGTTTTCTTAAAACAGACTATTTCTGAGCTGCAACCTTATTATTTTCATTGGAAAAAACACTCAGACCACTGACTTACCTGTATTACTTCAACATGAAATGTGTAATCCAGCATCGACAGAATCACATCCAGATTTTTGTTCCATGACTTAGGGTCAGGGAAGGATTTGTCATCACTGTCCCCACCTGGAGTTAGTATGAAGTGCCTGACTTGAGAGACACCCGAGTCATTGTCTCTTATGCCAGCTTCAGTTGCTATTTGGCCAGTATGACAGATGCTTCCTTAGCGAGAGACTGGCAAGAAGACCCAAGGGACTATGGAAATGTTCTGCTGCTTTCTTAAGTCCCTCTTTAAAATGCACAAAACATTAAGAAATTGAGGCAGCCAAATTGTAGAGTTTCCAGTGTACTAAAACACGCTTAAGGTATCAAGGTTACATTTGATGACTGGCTTTTTATTATGAAACTTTGTTCTTTGGTATTAGGAACTGAACTTAGGGCCTCATGAGTGAGTTTTATATTAAAATCTCAAATCCACACAATATTATCATTAGTCTAGAGCAGTGGTTCTCAGCCTTCCTAATGCTGTGACCCTTTAATACAGTTCCTCGTGTTGTGGTAACTCTCAACCATAAACTTATTTTCGTTGCTGCTTCATAACTACTTTTGCTACTGTTTAGAATCGTAATGTAAATATTTTCCAAGACCGATGTTTGTCAAAGGGGCCGCAGTCTGCATTTTGAGAACCTCTGCCCTATGGTGTCACTGTTGTTCTAGCCTGTATTTATACAGAAATAACCATCTCTCACAATGCATCTCAAAATGGCTACTCAAAGTAAAGATTTGAGTGCAGTAAATCTTGAAAGTTTACTTGGGCATTCCCTGATAAGAGTCCCTGAAGATCAGATCCCTTGCTGCCATTAATTACATAAGGTATCCTTATACTTACAGTCACAGGCCTGGAAGGGTATTAGCTGGGGAGCTAGACAGGTGGTTCAGTGGTCAAAAGCATCACTATACAACCATGAGTTCAGGTCCCAGGATCCACTATGGTCCCAAGCGTATGTCAGCCCTGGTTGAGGCAGAGATTAGAGGATTACAGGGACTTGCTGACTTTCTGGGGAACATCCTACCTCAGAAAAGTAAAGCAGAGATTGCTAAAGGAGGAATCTGATGCCCTCTGACCTCTATGTGCGTGCAGAGATGTATACCCCTATACACTGCACATACACACAAGAGGCTGTTGAGTTAAGGGGGGGGGGGTCTCTTTGCTTTGCTTTTAGAAAAGTTATAAAGAAGTCTTGGACTGCAGAGGAGCAGCAATGGTAATGACAAACAAACACAGTAAAGGAAAATCTACTTGTGCCCTTTGTCTTGCTTTCTATGCCCTAACAGCCAGGTCTCCCATAAAAGGCCCTGGGTGAGTGTAAATGGGATAGCAGGAGTGCCCTGCAGCTGTGACCAGAGTTTCATGGCCAAGAGATCACTTCTGGTGCTGACATATCCAGGTCTTTTTAAGCAAATGGCAGGGGCCAAGATCCTATGCTTTCCTGACATTTAAGTCACTAGAAGCCTAAGGCCAGCTAACTGATTTGCAGAGAAAGTAAGCAGCTAAACTCACCCACTGGCATCTTTATTTCCAGCCGTCTGTTACTTGTCGGGCATGGATTCTGAGAAATGTGACCTCGGGCAGTTGTAATCTGCAAATACTAACATGTAGAAGCTGTTTATGATGTCACTAAGAGATGGGACCTTTTGGGACCATATCATATCTGAACCTCATTTGTGGTCAAAACATGTAGCACATGACTGTGCTGTAATGCTTGCTCACAGCTTTCATGGTAAACCCAGTTAAAGGCCAAGTTGTGATTCTTACCTTCTTCTAAGGGTATGTTCTAGTCTAAGACCTAGGGCAAAATAGTTACGTGTGTGTGTGTGTGTGTATTAGATGGATAGAATCTTTAACTTATTTTTTTATTATTCCCAAGTTTTGAAATACACCTATGCTGTTCATAAACTACCAGTCAAGACTTGTTGCTTCTGTACAAAAAGCACAGATCTGCACTGTGAAGATGCTAGACCCTCATAGATGCCATTTACAACTAGCAGACTTGCAGAGTTGGGTATCCCTGCCCTAACTGCTGCCCACTCACGCCAGCTTCACTCTGCTTTTCCTAAGGTCGCTGTTAGGTAAGGTCACAGTTGCCCATCGCTGGTATGTTCTAAGTCCGGCCACCTTCCTGTACCAGTCAGTGGATGTAGTTAGCCACCTCTTCCCGTAAGTTCCTCTGCTTGTCTTTCTTGGTTACTACTGTTCTTTATCATTGTCTTAATGCTCCCCTTTCTGTCCACTCCTTAAACTTCTGGGGGTTTCTCTCTTGGGTCCCTATTTCTTTAGCCAGATGACCTCGTCTCCCATAGTTTCCGCTGTTCTGTCACAGAGCTAGCATTTCCGCTTCCAACTTTAGCCCAAGCTCCAGACCCAAGTTTCCAACTGCCAATTTCTCAGCCTATTTCAGTGGCTTAGCACAGCATGTCTAGACAGCCTATTCCTTCTTCCCCTCTCCTGACTCGCTTTGGTTCTGTGTTTTGACTCTTAATGTCATCTGCTCTCATCCAAAGCTAGAAATCGTCAAGTCTGCTTTTCTTTGCCATCACACTCCCCATCCAAGTGAATATTTTCACATCTTCAAATCATTTGAATTTGGCCTTTCATTCAAATAGTTGAGTTGTTTTTTTTTTTTTTAATTTGGTTTCCCCCACCCACGTGTGTTTTTGCTCTTTGTTCTGTCTGAAGTAGGGTCTCCCTGTTCCTGGATGTGTTCCTGGATGACCTCTGTGGCCTAGACTGGCCTTAAACTCACTGTAAGTCTGCCTCTAACTCCCAAATCCAGGCGTATACCTGCTGTGGGAACCCCTTCAGCCAATAGCCTTTAAGATATTGGCGTGGTCTCATGTTCTTAAATCCAGATGTAAAAGCGTGTGTGGGCCCCTTGGCTGCTGGCTTCAGTTCCAGTTCTTGGAGCTTGCAGAGGACTGCGATCACTCCTCTTTTTGTGAGTTTACCCCCTAATAAGCAAGCCTTTATTATATTTCAGTCTGGGCTAGTGTGGAAATCTTTCGTACTGCAACAGTAGATGACAAGGGCAGGCTGCTGTCACCAAGGCCCAGCCTCCTCACTCCAGCTGGTGATCCCTGGGCCAGTATCTTAAAGGCCATTGGCTGAAGGGTCCTGGTTTCATCAAATACTAATTAACCTTCATACCAGCCTCTCACTGTTATAGTCTAACCCTTTTCCTGTCTTTTGTTTCACTTGTCTTTGTCTTCCTGAACTAATTTATTAAACAAAACCTTGTATAGGGGCTGGAGAGATGGCTCAGAGGTTAAGAGCACTGGTTGTTCCTTTGGAGGTCCTGAGGCCAATTCCCAGCAACCACATGGTGACTCATGCCATCTGTAATGAGATCCGGCACCCTCTTTAGGCCTACAGGCTTACATGCACACATGCAGGCAGACCACTGTATACATAATGAATAAATCTTTAAGAAAAAAAAAACCTTGTATAGTTAGTTCCCTTTTTCCTACCTATGAAATTACAAATTTGAGTTTCAGTTCTAGTTCCGAGCAGCATGGTCAGCCATAGTTCCCATTCTTCCTCCTTCCATCATGCATTTTACATTTATTTATAGGTAATGTTACAATACTTATGTACATAATAGAGCTATTGTCAACCTCTGATTTTAATTATTTTCAACTCTTGCCCAGAGTACTTTATCCCACAGCCTTCATACCCTGAAAATAACTGATCATCAATTTAAATTTCAGTTTTATCAGTCTTTCCCTTTTTCCTACCTATGAAATTACAAATTTGAGTTTCAGTTCTAGTTCTGAGCAGCATGGTCAGCCATAGTTCCTATTCTTCCTCCTTCCATCACGCATTTTACATTTATTTATAGGTAATATTTCCTCTGCATCTAATAACAGAGTCCTTCAAAAAAGTGCCTTTATTCAGTGTTACTTCCCAGCGTTTCACATCCTACACTCTACAGAGATGCAGAGAGTGCTGGATGAGAGAAGAAAGCATGAGTGAATCTTCTAACTGAAAATACCGCTAGGAATGTGGAATTTCAGAATACCTATTCAGGGGAGACTTTGCCCTTTAAAAAGATGTTGCTGAGTCTTGAGAAATAGCTCAGCAGTTAAGAGCACTGCTTGCTTTTCCCAGGACCCCAGTTATGGAGATATGGGTCCCACATCTGGCTTCCATAGCTACAGTTTGTGCTACACAGTCACATGCATAATTTTTTTTGCATATTACTGATAAAATCCATATATCCAAATTTGATCATCATTTTATACCAGGATAAATAGTAACATCAAGAAATAGCATTACCTATCCCTAAAATTATACTAATAAGTTGACTATAGCTTAGCAGTTGAGCATTTGCCTAGCATATGTGATGCCCTAGATTCAATTCATTGCACCACCCAAAAGTAGTACTAATGATTAAATGATATTACGCTATAATGCTAATTTAAAACATAAAAATCTATTTAATAATTTTGGATACTAAGAAAGTACAGAAGCTATGCAGGACTGGATGGAAAGAGTTTAATAAATGCTTAGTGTTAAGCAGGATTCCTGGTAACAGGATTTAGTAACAGGAGTTGGCAGTAGAAGAGGAAAGTCATAGTGAATACAGTGTTCAGGATGCACAGTCCCTATTCTAAAAGTTCTACATATATTAATTTATTTAATCCTTACAACAACTCTATCTGAGAGATAACCATTAGCCCCATTCTAGAGATGAGGAAACTGAGTCAAGGAGCAGGTTGAGCAACTCAACCCAATTCATAACTGCAAAGTAGCACAGATGAAATGTCAAATAAGGTAAGGCTGTTCCCAGAGTTTGTGCTCTGGGCAAATGCTCACTAAATAGTTATATGGTAGCAGTGGTAGTGTTTCATGTTGGGGCTAGGAGCTCTATTTCCCCCTTGTTTTCTGCTGTCTACATTTCACAAGTCTTCTCGTGAGCAAGTGTACTAGAGGAGCAACACTGAGAATAAATGTGTGTTATTAAAGGATTTGTCACATTAGATTACGCAGTAGGGGCTTGGCAGACAAGTAGTGACTTTCTACACACTGGAGAGGCTGAGAACCTGGTGCCTGTTCATCTTCAAAACTGTGTGCCTCAGCAGTCCAGGTACAGCGCTGAAGGCCTGGAAGGTTCCCAGAGAGCTACTGGTCTTTAGTTCACATTGGAAGCCAGTTTCTGGTGCGAGTTCAGAACGACAGTGATGGCAACAGAATAGATACACATTCACCAACAAGAAGTGAAGGCAGGGCAAGCAGGCAATGCTGCTTTTTCTTGGGATGTACTTATATCTGGGGTGCCACCAGAAGGTGCTGCCTATGCTTGAGGGTCTTCTCCCCTCAGCTAATCCCTGGGAATGGCCTCACAGACCTTCCCAGAGACTTGTCTCTTATTTGATTCCAGATCCAGTTAAGCTGATAAGATTAACCATCACAGCAAATACTACCATAAAATGTTTTGATAATGTGAATGATAACCAGACGTTAAAAGCAATGAAAGTTTCTCAGAATGTGCTACACATTTAGAAAAGAAAAAAAAAATACTATTCCCCGCATGGAGGAGAAAATCTTGATCACCTCTACGGTGATATGGCGAGTTGTACTTAGCATATACAGAAACTAAATCCTCACACTCTAACTGGTATCACCCATTTTGTGATATTGTGTATTTATTTTTATTTATTCCTACTTAGTTCAAAAAGGGCCTGTTAGAGGATGAAGCCATGGCTCCATGGTTAAGAGCATTTAAGTACAGTTTCCACAACACAGGTTGGCGCACAACCTCTTGTAACTCTGGCTCTAAGGGATCCAATGCCCTCTTCTGTGATCCGTGGGCACAAGAGCAGAGGTGGTACATATATAGAAGAGCAGGCTAAACACATCTAGTTGAGAAACAACTGTTTTTAAAAGGGGCTGTAGGCACACCCTTTCATGCTGCTGCAGATTTTCCCCAAAAGAGCCAAGACTCTTAACCTTTGGAATACTACATTTTCTTGCCCTGTCTTTTGTGTGTTTGTCTACATTTCGCCATCAGAGAGGCCTGGGCATTTGGATTCCAAGAAACTGTTGAATTAGTTCATAGCCACTGGGTGGTGCTGGTCCACCCTGCTGTGTTTCCTTCCTCTGCATCCTCTCTCACAAGGAGCCAGCAACTATCCCTGAAGCTGTACCAAACAAATGGTACATCTTACAAATGGTTGAGCCATTTGTAAGATGAAGCAAGTTGAGGGTGTTTAGGAAGACTGCGTTAATAAGCAAGAAACTAGGGTGTCAGCCTAATTCTCAGCTGAGAGTTTTCCCAAATTAAAATCAGCACAGACCTGGTATCAAGACTATGTAGCCAGGCCTACATTGAGACCCTATCCAAAAAAGTACCCTTTATTCTCCCGAACTGGGGCCTAAAGGAAAAAATCTAAAGCCCAAAGCATACAGTCTTCAAAGAGTCTGTGAAGTTACAGCCTCACGTGCATGAAGAATCTACTTGACAAGCAAGACTAATTCTTTTAAACACTTCTAAGCGATCTCTTGTTCTCTAGCTCTGAGTCTTACTTCTCTCACACCCACATAAACAACTTTTTATAACTTAAAGGTAGTGATAGACACCTTTTAAATCCACTCTAGAACATCTCAGCAAACCCACAACT